TCTCTCCCTGGGTCCTCCTGTGCAGAGGTTTTTGCCCAGCTGGTAGCCTGCGTGAAGGGCCCCCAACTGCTCCCCCTTGCCCCGTGTGCCTCAGTGGCCCTGGCTGCCCTGCCATAAGCCCACCCTCACAAAACCAAAGACAGCCGAGGAATCCCGTGAGCCGCTGTGGGATCCTGGGCAGCAGCGTCTCCCCTCACAAGAGCCCACGTCCCTATGGGCCGCCATAACACTGAGAGTCCAGCACATTCTGTCCATGATGTGTGGACGTGGACTTGGCTTCCTCCCCTGTAAAATGGGTTAACAAATGCTGCTCTGCCTACGTCTCATGGGCCTGGCAGGAATGAGGTGCAGGACCAGCTGGAGAAGCCCCCTCTGCAGCCAGCAGAGGGTCTATACCCCAGCTACACACACAAGGACATGTCCCCAACCCCTCCCCCAAGGGCTGTTTTCTCTTCATCTCTTTTTGGTCCCAAACTCAGGTTGGGGGGAGAGGGGAGTCCTGGGCTGAGAGGCAGAAAATTAGCAGAATCATGCAAGTCACAGCTGGGAAGGCCTTAGAACAGGGGATGTCAGGGCTGGGAGAGGCCACAGAACAGGGGATGTCAGGGCTGGGAGGGGCCACAGAACAGGGGATGTCAGGGCTGGGAGGGCCTTAGAGCCTAGAATGTCAGGGCTGGAAGAGGCCCTAGAACATCTGGGACAACTTTCCATTTTACAGTTGAAGAAACTGAGCCCCAGTGAGAAGTTACTTGCCAAAGATCCCCCTGGTAGCACGCGCCAGTGCCAGGATTGGAATGCAGGTTTCCTGTCTCCCAGGTCTGGGCTCCCCACACTCCATGTCTCCCAGCAAGGAACCGCAGACTTCCTGGGCAGCAATGGTCTCCCCCACATCACACCGATAAGGAGTGGGGGGGCCGAGACAAGAAGCCACATTTCCAAAAGCCCCACCCAGCGCCTCCCACTGAGCCGCAGGGCCCTACTGAGTCAATCCAACACTGACTGCATTTCTAAGAGATGTCAGGAGGGGCTCGCCTTTCAACAAGGCGTGGCAACATTATTTCTACTTTACAGATGGGAAAACTGAGACTCATAGAGGTAAGCATAGTGGCTTATCTTACAATCCCATTGATATGAGAGCGAGATAGTGGAAAGGAGTTCAAATCTGACCTTGCCACTTCCTCCCTTAATCCACTTGGGGAGAGTCCCTTCAGCAATCTGGGTCTCAGTTTCCTCATCTGTAAAAGGGAAGGGGGCTAGACAAATGCTAAGTCCCTTCCAGCTCTATATCTAGGTCTGCTCCTAGGTCAGAGATCTCTCTCCTGAACGGCCCAATAGTCCAGGGGAAAGGCAGAGGAGGGGGGGTGTGGGCAATGCCAACTTCCAGGCCTTCCCCTCTCTGGACCTCAGTTTCCTCTTCTGTAAAATAAGGGAATTGGACCAGATGGTCCCTTTCCAGCTCTGAATCCTATGAAAGGTCATAACTTCTCCCTTCTATTGCAGTTTAAACAGTTACTGAATCCCATTGCCCAGGCAAAAGACCTGGAGTAAGCCGCTTGGGCAGATCCGCTAGGATTCATGGGAGAGCAAGGAAGGACAAGAAGCACCCTGGGAGGACAGGTGTGCCCAGGCCCAGATCCACAGCAAAGGAGGGAAAGACTGCCCATGCCTTGAGAGCCAGTAAGGCATGCCAAGGACTAGGGAGCTCACGCCCCCTGCCTGCCCTGCTAAGCCCTGCCCTGCCAGCCCTGCCCTGCCCTGCCTGCCCTGCCCAGCCCAGCCCAGCCCTGCCTGCCCTGCCCTGCCAGCCCTGCCCTGCCAACCCTGCCCAGCCCTGCCCTGCACAGGCCAGAAGGCTAGTGAACCCAAGAGCCAAACTCTTCCCTGTTCTCTGTTCTGCCAGCCAGCAGCTTCCCTTCCACCCCTCATGTTGCTAACCATATCATTCTAGGCTCTTAGATCTAGAGCTGGGACCACAGAGGTCATGAGCCTGATCCCCTCCTACATTCGCCCATGGTCACCTTAGCCCCAAAGAGTGGGACGACAATGTTGTTTATCCTTTTTTTAATCCATAGAGAAGACTCAGGGAACTAGTGATGACATGAGCAGAAGCAGGAGAACGAAGTCCAGCCTGGTGACGAGAATGCTAAGGCAAGGCCGATTGGAAGAGGACGTCGGGAAAGTGCAGGGGACGAGCCTAGACCCAAAGAGGAGCCAAAGGACCCTTTGCCCACTCCCTGGAGAGCTGGGGGCACTGCACACAGGGACAGAGTACTTCTGGCATGTAGGATGGTTTTGCTGATTTTTAGAAGGCTTTGTTATAAGGCTCACGGGAAGCTGGGGAAAGAAGGGGTACAGATAGAAAAGTTGAAGGATAGAAATCAAAATTTGTTCAGTGTCCACAGCCTTTGGGCACCAGGGTGGGGATCTCAGGGCCAGCCAGCCCAACCCTCTCACTTTACAGGGAAGGAAACTGAGGCCCATCCTAACAACGTCCAGGAGGCTGCACAGGGGCCTTTGACACAGAGCCCTCGTGGGCTACCTTTCAAGCCGTGGCTCCTCTTTCTCTGTTGTTGCTCAGTCGGCTTGGCTCCTTGCTGGCCGGCCCTCTGGTTTTCATTCTCCAGCACTCTCCCACTGCCTCCAGGCCACCCCGGGCCCCTGCGCTCCATTTCTCAGCGCTCTGGACAGCTCCGAAGGCTCTGAGTTAGAGATGGGGCTGCCCTGCGCTTGAGAGAGACGCTAGCCACCACTGTTCTCCAGACTGCTCCTGCAGGGCTACCACACCCAGGGCACACTTGCATCCTAATATTTCTATTCAACTCCCCGAAGCAGTTACTTCACCCACAATTATTCTCATGTGATCAGTGATTTAAATTCAGGAGAACACTGCATCTCAAATTATAATAGCAGGGCAGCAACTTGGGTGAGCCTTACTGCCAAAGACTGGAACAAGAAGGAGCTAATGATGACGGCGGTGGTGATGACAGCCAATGTTTCCACAGTGACTCAAACTATACAAGCCTCACAAAAACCCATTTAAAGAGCAGGAAACTGAGGCTCAGACCTAGTTGGAGCTCTGGAAATGGTCTGATAAAAACATTGGATTGGATTCTTGGCTTCACCCTGCCTTCCTCCTTGCCATTTCAATGAAAGCGCTCTCCCAAGACATTGTGTGGATGAAATGACTTGACAATCCTCATTGACCTCCCAGTCCCCAAACCCAAGACTTTTCTCTGACCCCATGCAGCTTGGCCTCATGGGCCTCCTGCCTCCTGCCTCTTCCTCTCCTCCTTGGGGTGGGAGTGTCACATGAAGTCCCTGTGTCCCCCCAGGCTTTGTCATCAGCCCTCTCCAAATTTCTGACCCATCCTGACCTGCCCACTCCTCAGAGATGCCCTCTCCTATCTCCCCCTAGGCAATCAAAGTCCCATGTCCCAGACTGACCTGGTCCCCCTTCCTCTTCAAACCAGCACTATTTTCTGAGGCTCCCAGTCTCTGCCAATATTTTGGTAATCCCCCCAGTCTCTGAAATCAATGTCATCATTAACTATTCCATCCTTCCTTCCCCCCCCCAATCCCTGAGTCCCCCAGTCTTCCTTTCTTCCTTTGAATCTCACTCTCACCCCCACCCATCCCAATGCCTGGAATTCTCTCCCTCTCATCTCACCTCCAGCTTCCTTCAGGTCCCAGCTGAAAGCCACCTTTTCCTAGGAGCCTTTGCCCATCCCCCCTTCTTTCTGGTGCCTTCCCCCTGTTAATTATCTCTCATTTTTATCTTCTCCACATCTTGTCTGGACATAGTTGTTTGCATATCATCTCCCCCATTAGACTGTCTTTTAACTTTCTTAGGATACCCCACTAGCAGACAGCAGGTGCTTAATAAATGCTTGGTGACTTGACTTTCCATTCCTCTAGCATTCCCAGCACCTCTTACCTAGACTATTTCAATCTAACCTTCCAAAAGAAGTAGAGAACCCAAGTGCCAGAGGGAAGGCAGAGTGGAGACCACCTAGTCTAACTCCGCATTTTACAGAAGGGGAAACTGAGGCACCAAGAGAAGGGACTTGCCCAAAGGCAGAGTTAAAGGCAATGCAGGCAGGATTAGAACCCAGGTTTCCTTACTCCTAGCTGAGGGTTCTTTCCACCATAACCAGCTCCTGCAGCCTAGGGGGGAGAGGACCTAGGGGGGAGCCTTCGGCTTCTAGTTAAGACTCACCCAGTTGGCTCCAGACTTTCTTTGCTCTCCCTCCTTTCCTCCCTCTTTCCCTCAGCAGATCCCAAAGCACAAGCTACAACTTCCACCAGGCTCTTTCCGGGTCCTGGCCTCAGTCCAAGACTGAGGTCCCTTACCCACTGCCTCCCCCCCACCACTGCCCAGCTCCCCTGTTCCCAAGACAACTCTCTCCTCTGGAGAGTCCCCGGGCTCCAGAGCAAATTCCTCTTAAAACAACGCTTCCCCCCTCCCCGAAGAGCCCCTTCTATGGCGAGAATCCCCCCCCAGACCTCCCCCACAGCGGAGCCCCTCTCTCGGAAAGAACCCCCCCCACCGAGGAGCCCCTCTCTTGGAGAGAACCCCCCCCAGAGCCCTCCCCTTTGAGCCTCACTCAGCGATGAACCTCCTCCTCTCCATGAGGACCCCTTCCCCAAAACTGAACCCCACAGTGAAGTCCCTGAGACAGTCCATAGCAAAGTGGCAACCCCTTCAGAGCAGAACCCACTCCCTTCCTCTCACGAGAGAACCCTTGCTGAAGACAGCCGTCCCTCAGATCAGCGGGTGACCCCCTCCGCATAGCGGAGTAGCCTGCGTCCTGGGGGTGGGAAGAGGAGACCAGCCAGGGCTCCCGCCCCGCCTTGCCCCATCCGAGCATCCCTGCATCCCGGAACCCTAGCATCCTTGCACCGCGCCCCCCCCCCGCCCCGGCCCCGGGCCGGTCCTAGGTGCCCCGCACCCCTACTCCTAACCCGGGAGAGAGTGCAGGGGAGGGGACCCGGAGGCTCACCAAAGTGGAGGGCGCCACCGGGGCTGGGCCGGGCCAAGATTGGCAGAGCGGGGCTGAGCCGAGCTGCCCTCTGGGCTCTCTGCTCCGCTGCGCTGCGCTGCCTCCTCCCAGAGCTGGCTCGGCTCCCTCCTGCCAGGCAGCAGCGGGGTGAGAAGAGAGGAGGGGGAGGGGAAAGCGGGAGGAGGAGGTGCCGGGGGAGGACCGGAGGAGGGCGGGGCGGGCGCTGCGACACCTCGGAAGGGCGGGCGGACTGAGGGACAGGGCCGGGGGCACTGGCTCCGCAAGGCACATCGGACCCCTTTCCCCCTACCCCGTGACTCCCACCGCACCCCTCCCTCAGTTTCCTCGTCTGTCAAATGAGGAGGTTGGATGAGATTATGTCAAAGGCCCTTCTAGCCTGAAAACTAAACTCCCGGCCTCTGCCCTCCCCCCACCCCAAGCGTCCCCTCCTCTGTGTTCACCCTCCCCCAAGCTCCAGTCCCATCCCCCACCTCCGTGAGCACCCAAGGCCCTCCCCTTTCCATAGCGCCTCCTTGGATGTGCCCCTCCCTCAGTGGCCCCCTTGCCCTTCCCCCAGTTCCTGGGTGCACACCTCCTCCCCACCCCCATCTCTACACCCCACCTCAGTATGCTCCCAAACCCTCCTTTCCCTCCCCCCCAACTTCTCCAGGGCTTCCATCAGTGAAGCGCCTCCTCCCCTAAGTGAGCCTGCTGCCCTCCCTACAGCCCCCTCCAGAGCCCCATTCCCATATTCGGCTCCTTCTCAGTAAGCAGCCCTACTCCCATTTTTTGCTTCAGGAGCCCCACCCTCCCCCGTGAGGAAGCAATGGGGCCCAGTGCAAAGAGGATGCTCTGCTTCTGACCACCTGGGGCGCTGGGCTCAAGGCCCTGCCTCTCTCTGGGGGGAGGGAGAGGTTCATTTTCCTCAAGCATAAACTCAAGAGATTAGGCCACACCATAATCTTTGAGATCTTTCTGGGCTCTAAAGCTGGGATCCTTCCACTTAGAGCGAGTCCGTGCCCCATCGCAGGCCTCAGTTCCCACATCTGAAAAAAAGGAGCTTGGACAAGCTTGGGCCCTGAGTAGAGTTCAGGGGCTCTGGTCCTTAGGTAGGAAAGTATGGGTGTGTGTGTGTGTGTGTGTGTGTGTGTGTGTGTGTGTGTATGTATATATATATATATATATATATATATATATATACATATATACACACACATACAATATAATTGGTTTTCTTTGCAATCCTACATACTTTGTTTTATGCATTTAAAAACATTATCCTGAGAAAAGGTCAGTGGGCTTCACCACACACGATCATTTCAGGCCAATGGGGCCCAGCACACAAGGATTAAGAAGGCCAGGACTCTGAGGTCCCTTTCTGAGCCATCTCCCTTCTTGGGCCCTGGCCATGCTCTGCTCCCAGCCCCAGTCACTGTCCGTCAGAGGGCTGGCACACATCCCCACCTGGGCCCCCTGAGAGCCTTCCTCGCTTCCTGTCTCCTGTCTAAAGGTTACCATCCCTGTTCTCCACCCACCCCAGATGGCTTCTCCCCCTCTGGGCTCTGACAGTGACTATGCCTTTCTGCCAGCCTCCTTTCAACCTGCTCCTAATTTCTCCTAGAGCCCATTTCCACAGAAACACCTCTAGGGTCTGAGGCCACAGCCAAGTGGCAGGTCCAGCCATTGGAGGCTTGGCTGCACAGGATCTGTGTTACAATCATTATTGTCTACATTTCTCTAGAGCCTTATTGGTGACAAAGCCCTGTCCTCACAACAGCCAGTTTACCTTGAGGGAAACTGAGGCCCAGATGGGGGAAGAGACTAGCCCAGGCTCCCCCTGATCAGCTGATAGGTGTTCTCTCCTGGCAGCTTAGATGGGACCTGAGTCTCCTAAGGGTGAGACCAGCATCCTTGGGAGCCCCCACCCCAGCCAGGGAGCATATAAGGATAGATGGCCCAGAATTCCCCTTCCCCTTAGAGGGCACACATGAAGGCCACAGGAGCCAGCCCCAGAGTGGAGAGAGGACTCGGGACAACAGAGTCTCTGGGCCACTTCTGTCTCCTAGGACTGCTGGCTTCTGGGTGGAGGCTCCTGTTTTAGGGCTGGAGAAGGGAAGGAAGGTCACACAGGTAATAAATGGAACAGAGCCAGCACCTTCTTTGACTGTGGGAAGAAGCACAGTCAGGGAGACCTGAGTTCAGATCCCGCTGAGGGCAAACAACTTAACCTCTCTGCCTCAGTTTCCTTATCTGTAAAAGAGATAGGGTAACAACACCTACCTCCCAGTGTTGGGAGGGATCAAATGAATTAGCATTTGTACAGAGCTTTGCAAACCACAAACCCTTAAATAAATCCTAGCTATGGTGTGAGATAGATAAAGTGGAGGGCCTGGAGTCAGACAGACTTCTCATCCTGAGTTCAAATGTGGTCTCAGCCACTTGCTAGCAGTGTGACCCTGGGCAACTCACTTAACCCTGTTTGCCTCAGTTTCCTCATCTGTAAAATATTCTGGAGAAGGAAATGGCAGACCATTCCAGGATCTTTGCTAAGAAAACCCCAAATGGGGTCACGGAGAGCCAGACATGACTGAATAACACAACAACAAAGCTGGAATTATTACTTTTCTTACTTTAGATGAGTAGAAAAGGCCCTGGTCTCAGCCCAGGCTCAGCACTGCTGCCCCCAGACATCTTCCGGGAGCCCAGGGCCCCACTCACAGCCTCTGGGTCCTGGAGGCAACAGCACAAGGCCTCTGGGCTTTGGGACTCCACTTAGACACCCTGCTGAGCCTTACTATAATAAATACTTAAGGTTTGGTGAACTGAATTGAATTGAAGGTGGAGTGGAGAAGGCCAGTCCTGTAGATTGGAACCCAAAGGAGCAGGTTTAAATAAGCAGGTCACTGTGTGACCAGCAGGCAAGTCTTTAAACTTCTTGAGCTAATACCGGTTTTCTCCTTAGACAAATGAGAGGGTGGAGTAGGGGGCTGGGCCCTTCTAGTTCTGAAACCATGAGTCTCAGGTCTCCTAAGTGGACCAGGCCGCTGTAGAGTCTGAATTCAACCATCAGGCAAGCATTTAATGACAGGCTTCCTGTGGTCCAGATCCCAGGCTGAGCCCTAGAAACACACAGAAAAAAGCCCAAACCAGCCCTGCCCACAAGGCCATTCTGTAGGAGGAGATACGACAGCTAAATGGGAGCTACAGGAGATACATAGGAGTAAGTACAAGGTAACCTTCGATATAAAAATGTTCGCGGATCCGTCAGTAGGTTCTGCTGCCAATCATACTGACCAACTTGAAGAGACAGGTCATTAATAACCTATTTATCCTATGCTTGGAGCAGAATCTCAGGGTACACAAAAACCAATGGACCCCGGGCAGCCTTTTCAAAAAGCTTCCACAGGACTAGGCAGGACGAATACAATTGAAATTTTTAGAGGGGCAGAAGGGAAGGTAAAGATTTACACATCAAAGGACCAGTACAAAGGGAAATTCCACATCAGGTAAATTAATAAACTGATCAGCAAATAACACAGCTAAAACTGATATCTCAAGCTGGGATTTTGCAGATGGAGCAGGAACTGACCAGCTAGATCCAGGGTTATCTGAAATTGTCTCAGCTTAACGAGACAGGGCTAGTAAAGCTGAGCCAGAAATTCTTCCATTACGAACCTGAGCTTTGTAAAGTTTGATGTCTCAGCTAAATGCTGCAAGCTCAGCCTGTCGTGTGACCAGCTATCTTAATAAAATCAGCAATACTGAAGTTGTCTACTGGGTCACAACTGAGGCAAACGGGGTAAGTGACTTGTGCGGGGTTAGATGGAACTTAGGAAGATGAATCTTCCTGACTCCAGGCACCGCCCTGTCCTCGAGTGTGTACCTGAATAGGGCATCCCCCTGCAGTAACACATTACTGACAATGTACCTACCACAAGCCCCTCAAACTCAGCAGAGTCAAAGCAGATGGTCACTTCTGTCCAATGCCGTCCTCCTCCGAACTACCCCCTCTGCTCAGAACACCACCATCCTTCCAGTCTCCCAGTCAGGGGACAGCTAGGTGGCACAGTGGATAGAGCACTGGCCCTGAAGTCAGGAGGACTTGAGTTCAAATCCCGTCCCAGACCAAACACTTGACACTTACTAGCTGTGTGACCCTGGGCAAGTCTCTTAACCCCAATTGCCTAAATACAAACAAACAAAAAATCCAGTCTCCCAGTCAGGCAGCCCAGGAGTCATTCCTGATACTCTGCTCTTTCTCACCCATGACATACCCAATCAGTTGATAATATCTCTCAGACTTTTTCCCTACTCATACAGCCTCTGCTACAACAGTTCAAGCCTTGTCACTTCTTCCCTGGGCTATTGCAGTAACCTTCTAAGTTGTCTTCCTGCTTCCTGGCTCTCCACTCTCTCACAATGGTACCAAAATGATATTTCCAAAACACCGATCTGACCATGCTGTTCCTGGACTCAACCACGATCCATGGCTCCCTATTGCCTCTGGGATAAAACACAAACTCCTCAGGCCAGAATTTAAGGCTCTGTCTACCCAGTCTGGCTCCCACTACCTTTCTGGTCATTTTCTGGTAGTCCTCTTCTCTTGCTCTGCCTTCCAGTCAAGCTGGCCCCCATTTCCCCATTTACACTGGCTGTCCCCGTGCCTAGAAGGTACTTCTTCCTCCCCACTTCTACTAAGAATCCTGAACTTCCAAGTAGTTCAGGGGATACCTTTCCCAGCCTTATGAAATCCCTTTGTGTTATTTTCTATGTACTTTGTATCCCCTGAGGATACACTCCTTGGGAATAGAGACTGTTTCATTTGTCTGATAGATGAGCAGCCAGCTGAATTGAGAGCTGCGATTTAGGGATCAGGCCACTAGGGGGCGGTAAGTATCTCGGTCATGTTTCCTAGACTGGAGCTGATTGTTTTTGTCATGATTCGTTAGCCGAATCATCTCCTCTTCCGTCATGTTTTCTAGGTTACGCTTCCCTCCCAATGCCCTTCTCAGGTTCATCACGCAAAGATCACTGTCTCCTTTCACAGATGACAAGAAGGCGCTTGAGATTCCCAAAGTCACAGCCAGGACTGTAACCCAGGTTCCCTGCCTCCTCCTCACACTTGGGTCTTTCTACCAAACCGTGGAAATTTACATAAAATTTCCTTTTTAAAATGATACTTTATGAGAACAGTTAAATGAGCCACAGGAAAGAACACTACATTTAAAGATAATGCAGATTCCCAATTTCACAGACAATCCTTTTTTCTGTTCTTTGTGTATGGAAGCCGCTACTGTGGGTTCTAAGGGAGGAGGGTAGAAGCTTGGGCGGGTCCTACCTACCAAGCAGGAAAAGTTTTCAAATGGGAGGTTGGGGATTGGGGTCTGAACACCTACAAGCAGTTTGAAAAAGCAAGGTAGAAAATTTTAACCAGTATGGAGGACAGTGTGGAGCAGGGTGCCATGGTTTGCATAGAAAGGACAATGTTTACATTTCTGCCACAGACTCTTCTAGTGGTATACCAGTAAATGGATAGCAATCTCTTCTCTGGGGGAAAAAAGTATAAGTTTCATCTGCCCGACTAATATTTTCTCCCTTTCTTAAGTCTGGCCAATCCACAAAATAACTGACCAAGCCCCATTTTGTAGTGTTTGCTGATTTCCAAAGGGTGGCATCTGCTTTCCTTCTGGGCTGGCTCCAGCAGACCCTGCCGTTCTCTCTGATCTGAGTGACCTCAGTAATCTGAGGCTCATCTCTCCTCTGGAGGAGAAGGTGCAGGGACTTCAGGAATGTGGTCTCGCCCCACTTGGGGTTTTTAAGAATGTGAAGTATTCTTAAAGGAGACAGACCTGAGGCATCAATGAGGGGGCAGGAGGGACCTGTGTTAAAGGAGGGGAGACTTGATCCCCATTAGAGTGTTGGAGAGTTCAATCCTTACACTGAGGCGAAGAAGGGCCAGTATCTAGAGAGGACCATGGGGATAACTAGATGGTCAAAACAAACGTGAGGTTCTTCCTGGAGAGGAGTGAAAGGGATGCTCTAAGCAGGAGAAACATAACTCCTCTTCCTCCTCTTCCTCTTTGTCTTCCTCTTCCTCCTCCTTTTCCTCTTCTTCCTCTTCCTGCTCTTTCTCCTACTTTGCTTCCTCTTCCTTCTCCTCCTCCTTCTCAGAATGACTGAGGAGATCCACACAAGCTCCAGAGTGAGAGACCATCTTGTAAAGAGCTGAGGAAGAACAGAAGACTCAGAGTAGCTGATGACAGGTTCCCTGCTTCCTGGTACTATTTGTCAACCTGACAATAATAGAGAACATTTATTTGTAGAGTGCTTTGAGATTCCTGAAGCATTTTACAATTATTATCTCATTTGACCCTCACAATAGCCCTGGGAGGTAAGTACTGTTATTATCTTCATTTTACAGATGAGGAAATTGAGGCAGAAGTGAAGTGACTGGCCCAGAGTCACTCAGCTAGGAAGTGTCTTAGACAGGATTGGAACTCAGGTCTCCCTGACCCCAAGTTTAGCACCACATCACTTAGTGAAGAGCAGCTAAGATTACAGAAATTCCCAGGAAACAAAATCTAAGGAAAGAGCCAGTAGTCAAAACCATTGGCCTCAAGATGCTACAAAGAAATGCCCAGAGTTTAGGCAATAAGAGGAATGAGGAATGCAAACAGACAAATCTTACCTCATAGATATCACCGAGCCCTTGTGAGATGACTGATACTCAGGACCAGGCCATGGAGCTTATTCAAAAGAAACAGGGCAGATGGAATGTGGGGAGTAGAAGAGAACACTGCAGGTGACAAAGAGATATTTGTGTGAGCACAAGGAGGGACTGACCCATGAAGGCCAGGCTCCCCTCCTGGGAGCATGTGCACATGAGAGGGTCTGGTGACCCTGCCTCTGGAAGCACCTGAAGCTATGGAATGAAGGAGCCTAGCTCACCCCTTCAGAGTGATGCTACCATTCTGCAAAATGGGAGGAAAAGGCCTTTGTGATGAGCAAGGAACTAGAATTAGATGTGCATACAAAGCACCATTCTTTCCCATGTGGTCATCAAAGGAGAACATGCTGGAAGCCCCTAGGTTGGGAAGAGGCCTTGGGCCTTCATCCTCAACCTGGGCCTTGGGGATGAAGGTGGGGTCCTTGGGTTGGGTCCCTCTGCTGTGACTGCAACTTTGGGAGCTCTGAAAAGTCAGCCCTCCAAGCCTAAGGACCAGCCACCTGCTCCAACCCAAGCCACCAGAGGCTCAGAAACTGGACCTAGTAGGTAGGAACCTGCCTGACACAGCAACGGCAGCCACAGTGGGAAGGGAACCCGGTGGCACAAGGGCTCTGGAGCAAACACTGCCGGTTTGAGCCCACTCTGCCCAGGCCCCAAGGGCCATTCCAGAGAAGGGGTCACCGGCTGCTAGGGAAATCGTGTTTGTACTTCTGTTCTCTCTATAGCTTCTCAAGAAACACCCCTTCTATAAAAGCTAGTCAACGATATTAAAGAAATATTAGCTAGCACTGATGAGACGGTATTGAAGAGATAGCTGGCATTTGATATTTAGGGAAATGTAACAGAATGGGGGCTCAAGCCCACAGCATTAGAGAAAATCTCATAGAGCCCCCTGTACAGCCCTGGGGGAATGCATAGACAGCCCTACACTGGAGAAGCAAATAGACGCTAGGATAGGAATCCCCAGAGCTTAAGGAATCTGCATCAGGAAACCCAGGAACCAGAGGTGGGAAGTGTGGTAGAGTGTTTAGGTGAAGGTCCAAGAAGGAAGAAAGACAAGCAATTTTGTCACGGAGTATACAACGCCTGCACAGAACAAAGAAATAGGTGAGGAATTTAGGAAACAGATCACAAGCCTGGCACAGAGGCAACATGATGGCATCACGGTGATGGGGGTCTTTGGTTTTCCAGACATCTGTCAGAGGTCTCGGTCTCTCTATCTCTCTCTCTCTCCTCCCCTTCTTTCCTCCTCCCTCTCTCTTTCTTTTCGTCTTTCCTCTCTCCTCCTCTTCTTTTCCCTCTCTCCCTTCACCTCCCTCTCTATCTGGTAATAGCAGAGAATCCAATAACTTCGTGACATAAAAAGTGAAGGAGTCAATAAAGGGAAATCCTTTCCCAAAGAGGAAGAAAGTGGTTGCTGGAGTAAAAATGATGGGGACCTTTTGGGGGGACATCCTAGAGTTTGTGATGGAGAAGAGGGAGTCTGGACCAAATCCAACATGCACCCTAGATTTGGGGAAGGTGGATTTCAAAGCATTCAGATGAAACATAGGTAGGAACCCACAGACCCAAATGGTACAGAGGAAGGCATCCCAAATTGTAAAGACACAAAGGGAAACGATTCCAGTGAGGAGGAACTGGGATTTACCTGAGGACCTCAGTGCGACTGCAGAGGGAATACAGCCACCAATTTCGATTTCAAAAACAAACCAACAAATAAATGCATAGATGAAAGAAGCAAAGCCAGAGAAATGAGAAAGAACTAGGACATGGCTGATCTTGTAAAAAGAATGGCAGAATTGCCTGAAATTCAGGCACTCGGTCAGTCCTGAATGATTTATTGAGCGCCTTCTTCTCCGTGATTATTAGCTACTGTGTGCCAGGCACTGTGCTAAGTGCGTGGGATCCAAAGAAAGGCAAAAGACAGCTCCTGCCCTCAGGAAGCTCCCAGTCTAATAGAGGAGACAACATACAGATAACTGGACTGAGGCCCCCCACTCCCAATAACCAAAAAAAGGACTTCTTAACAAATATTTTGGCAGGGGAAAGATTAAGGGAGGGCCAGGAGAGGGCTAAGCTGCACCTGTTGTGATTTAGCTTCTATTTTCCCTGCTAAGAGCAACCTCGGTCATTCTAGAAATGACAGGGTAACAGTGGTTAACAGAAAGTTGATGCCAGAGATAAGAGATACCATCCATGAATCCGGGTCACCTGGCCCAGGTGACCTGCATCCTCAGGATCCGAAAGAACCAGCAGCCAAGCTGGCCGAGCCCCAGTCAGAGAAAAGGAATGATCATGGAAAATGGGAGAGGTGCCATAAGACTGGAGAAGGGCAGGCATTGTCCTGATGCTCAAAAAAGGGAACTATAAGCTAGGCAAGTTGACTTGGATTCTTGGGAAGAGTCGAACATGCATTATTAAAGAAATGGTTAATATGGAACACCATAGCCAAAATAAGCCAGGTCCAAATGGGTACATGACCTAGATATAAAAGCTCATGTCATTAAAAAAATATGAAGGAGGAGGGCACGAGGCGCCTTGCACAACCGTAGATTACGCCCACTGTCTGCCTTCTCTGTTTTTACTTGAGAATTCTGAATGCAGTTAGAAGTCCCACAGCCATGCTGACCCAGGGCAATATAGATATATGTTCTCTAACCTCCATTAGGCAGCTGGATGGCACCATAGTGAATAGAGTGCAAGGCCTAGAGTCAAGAAGACTCATCTCCCTGAGTTCAAATCTGGCCTCAGACACTTACTAGTTGTGTGGCCTTGGGCAAGTCACTTAACCCTATTTGTTTCCTCATCTGTCAAATGAGCTGGAGAAGGAGATAGCAAATCGCTCTGGTATCTTTGCCAAGAAAACTCCAAATGGGGACATGGAGAGTCAGATACAAGTGAAACGACTGCACAGCAATCTCTGTTGCGCTTTCACTCACTAATTCACCCAGTCAACAGGATCTATTAAGCACCTAATATGTTCCAAGTCCCACAAGCACTAGTAGGTTGAGTCCTCAGTGGGGCAGCTAGTTTTTATTTCCCTCAGGGCTCTACGGATAACCCCCAAGGAGACTGGAGATTCTAATGCTATCACTCATGTGCCTCCCCCAGGATGCTTCCCAATATCATTTAATCACTTAGTATCTCTGCAATATCAACTAGTCAGGTGACTTTTCCAAAAGAACACTGGAGAAGGCATAGGAAGGATCAATCAGCAACTTCCCTTCACTTGATCTCTTGAAAGAGTGAGCTCAGACACGCCTCAGACACACAACACCCCTCCCCACTGCACTGATCGCTCTTCCTCCTGCACCTACACAGGGTCCCTGTGGACAGTGAGAATAACCCTGGAAGCGTAAAGGTATTGAAACACAGATATAGGGAACATATATTACCAAGGAGCACTTCCCGGACCCGAGAGTCTTTTTCTCCCTTCTTAGAGTTTGTCTGCAATGCTCCTTTATCTCAGAGTAGGAGAGCCAGTAAAATAGATCACTCCTGGGGGTAGCATTGCTGATAGATAAGCTGCTCCCTTGCTCATCTGGACTAGCTCCTTGCTGAGCTGGGACAAACAGGTTGCTTAGCTGACAGGCAGCCTCCTCACTGGACTCCTTCCTAAGCTGTAGAAGCTACCAGGAGACTTGATTACTGAATCTAGTTGCCAGACCTCTGATGGCTCTTTGGACCTTTCAAAGGTCACAGGTTCACAACCTGGTCTGTTCCATCTCCAGATACTCATTCCCTAAAATCAAGAATGAATGAGACAAAAGATATATAGGTATTGTATGTTCATGGAAACACGGCAGCCACGTGGGGTTAGGGCTCCCTCTTCTGGCAGATCAAAGCAATCCTGTCCGCACTCAAAAGCCAAGAAATAGTTCTGCTTGAGTCTTTTGTACCTGCACTCAATTCCATCGCAGCAGGCAATTAAAAGGATTTTTTGAAAGGAAGACAACAGGGAACAGTTAGAAATCCCCCATGTGTACTCTGAAGTGAGGGTAAAGGCCCCTCCTCCCAACTGCTTGGATGACCTCACATGGATTGGAACCAGACCAGGGCATATCACGTACTCTGGGCCCTCACTGGCCAGTCTCCCCATTATAGAACGTATACCAGAAGGTAAAATTTTGGGGAAGATAAGGTGCTGGGGTGGGGGAAGGGGCTTAGGAAAGGCTTCATGGAGAAAATGTCACTGAATTCTGATGGCAAGAGTGATGCTGGAAACTAGGGATTCTAAGAGGCGGCAGGGCAGGGAGGGAGTGGGGAACAGAAACAGACGTGGAAGAAAGCATGTCACGTGTGGGGACATGTACATGGATAGCCGATTTACTGGTACAGATGCTAACTAGTTCAACAGAAGCACTAATTTGGACTCAACAAGAGAACCCACTCCACTCCCAACAGTCCTGGCCTCCAACTTTCTTCTCTCTTCCCAGTCCTCCCACACCACCCTTCCTCCCTCTCTGCCCAGCCAGAGACCCCTTGTCTTCAGTCTCCAAAAGGCAAATCTCTAACATCTTCATCCACCAGTCAACACTGCCTGGGGCCAACATGGATTTGCTTGAATCCCAAGCTCTAAAGGCAAGAGCTAGCCCTCAGGCCACTTAGAAACAACTCAGGTGGGATTTTTATTCATTCAGCTATGGCTGGTCCTAAGTAATTTACCAAATAATCTGGTTGGTAGTTTACTTCAAATTTACTGTGAAGTTGTTTAAAATATCTTTTCATTGGTGGTCTCTCTTATTGGACAGTTCACATATGTTTATCAACTGTTTAAGAATATCCATATTGCTTATTACACCACACCACACGAGTGTTTATCCTCCCCACTGTACTCTCCATGATAGCGGACCTCACCTTTCTCTTTTTCTTCCAATCCTCCCCCCTCCTCCCTCCCTCTCAGCAGACCTCATTTCATACTTTATGAAAAACATTCTAGCTATGCATCTTAAGGCAGAAGCTCCCTCTTCTCCTCACTTTTACACTTCAATCCTGCCCTCCCCGCCCAAGTTACCCCCCACTCTCTCCTCTTTCACTCCAGAGGTCATTATGTCACTTGGACAAAAACC